GAGAAGCTGTGGCTGCCCCTGGATCCCTGGGAGTGTCCAAGGCCAGGCTGGAGCAACCTGGGATAGTGGAAGGCGTCGGGGTTGGAACTGGAGGTTCAGGACCCCTTTAAGGTCCCTTCCCACCCAAACCATTCCACGATCCCACCTTCCCCACCCCAGAAATCCCCAGAATCCCAGACCCACCAGTCTCCCTTCTTCAGGCAGTCCACGCTGGCCCCGCGCTCCAGGAGGAAGGACACGCACTCTCCGTGCCCCATGGAAGCCGCCTCATGGATGGGCCTCTTGTAGTCCCCGTTGGCCGCCTCCACGTCCATCCCGAGCTCCCGCACCAGGAATTCCAGCACGTCCCTGTGTCCCAGCCTTGCGGCGTGGTGCAGCAGGGTGTCCCCCAGGCGGCCCCAGCGCCGGCTCCTCGCCTCTGGAATGTCCTCTGGAAGCAGCTCGGCCCTCAGGAGATCCACCTTCCCCTCCTGCACCAGCCGCAGGAGCCGCCGCGGCCTCTCCCGCCCCGCCATGGATCCGGCGCTGGGGGAAAACGGGGGGAAAATCGGGATTAGAGGGGGAAAGGGAGGGATGTTCTGGGGGTTGGGATGAGAGGGAATGAGGTTTTCCCTCAGGGAACGCAGGATTTGGCCTCTGCCTCCGGGAATCTCCTGGAAAACGGGGGTTTCCTTTCTCCCAAGGAAATCCATAAAATGGCGGCTCCCTCAGGGTGAGCGGGAATTTCCTTCTCCCTCAGGATAAGTAAAATTTTCTTTTTCACTCAGGATAAGTAAAATTTCCCTTTTACCTTAGGATAACTAAAAATTCCCTTTTCCCTCAGGATAAGTAAAAATTCCCTTTTCCCTAAGGAGAAGTAAAAATTTCCTTTTCCCTCAGGGTAATCAGAAATTTCATCCTCCCTCAGGATGAGCAGGAATTTCCTTCTCCCTCAGGATAATCAAAATTTTCCTTCTCTCTCAGGATAACTAAAAATTCCCTTTTTCCCTCATGGTAACCAGAAGTTTCCTCCTCCTTCAGGATAACCAGGAATTTCCTTCTCCCTCAGGGTAATTAAAATTTTCCTTTTCCCTCAGGATAACTAAAAATTCCCTTTTCCCTCAGGATAACCCAAAATTCCCTTTTCCCTCAGGATAACCCAAAATTCCCTTTTCCCTCAGGATAAGCAGAAGTTTTCTCCTCCCTCAGGATAACCAGGAATTTCCTTCTCCCTCAGGGTAATTAAAACTTTCCTTTTTCCTCAGGATAATTAAAACTTTCCTTCTCCCTCAGGATAACCAAGAATTTCTTTCTCCCTCAGGATAACCAGGAATTTCCTTCTCCCTGAGGGTAATTAAAATTTTCTTTCTCCCTCAGAATAAGTAAAATTTTCCTTCTCCCGCAGAATAAGTAAAAATTCCCTTTTCCCTCAGCATAACGAGAAATTTCCTTCTCTCTCAGGATAATTAAAATTTTCCTTTTCCCTCAGGATAACCTGAAATTTCCTCTTCCTTCCGGAAAACCAGATTTCTTCAGGATAACCAGGAATTTCTTCTCCCTTTATGAAATCCAGGAACCAGCCAATCCTTTGGTAAACCAGAAATTTGCTCTTCCTCTGGGAAAACTGGGAAGTGGTCTCTCCTTCCAGAGAGTAAGATTTGCTTTTCCTTGGGAAAACCAGGATTTGGGCTTTCCCTCAGGAAAAACAGAAATTGCCTTTTCCCTTGGGAAAACCAGGAGATTTCCTTTTCCCTTGGGAAATACAGGGCCCAAAGGTCCCCCCTGGAAAAGCAGGAAATTAAATTTTCCCTCTGGAAAAGCAGAATCCAGCCTCTCCCTCAGGAAAAGAAGGAACTGCCCTATCTTTTAGGAAAAAAAGAAATTCCCTTTTTCCTTAGGAAAACCAGGAATCAGCTTCTGCCTCTGGAAAAAAAAAACAAACAGAAATTTCCTTTTCTCACCGGGAAAAAAAGAAATGTTTTTTCCCACTGGAAAACCAGAAACTGGAAAAACAAAGTTAATTTTCCATGGGAGAAGGAAGTTCTTTTCCCTCATGAAAACCAGGAAGGGGCCTCTTCCTCAGGAAAAATTTCCTTTTCCAGCAGGAAAAATGGAAACCAAACTTTCCCTGCAGAAAACCAGAAATTGCCTTTTCCTCAGGAAAAGCAGGAACCCGCCTTCTCCTCGGGAAAAACACATATTCCTATTTTTTTCCCCAGGAAAAACAGGCAATTCCTTTTCACTCAGGAAAACCAGGAACCTGCCTCTTCCTCCAGAAAATCTGTAATTCCTCTTTTTCCATCAGGAGTTGTCAGAAAATGGACCATCCTTCAGGAAAAGGAGAAATTTCCTTT